TTATGTTCTCTTGCAAGTTGAGCCATTGGAAATGTTGGCTAAATTTCAAATCACACATCCATATGACAGCTCCCGTCTCAGGTGTGAGTTAAGATCTGCCAAGATGTGGAGTCGGGCTTTCCTTAAAAAGAAGTGATAGAAAAACACGAGGAGGTGTAGAACTGGCACACAGAGGAGTGAAGTAAAGCCTCAGTGTGAAGAGCCATTTGTGCCGGTAAAATTATGATAATGCCCTGCAGCAGCGGTGCTAAAAATCAAGCGCACTTAAAGCATTTCCCTCTCCCCTGAGGTCTGCACACAGCTGCTCCACCTGCTGAGCCCCTTCCCACACTTCCATTCTTTCACCATACCTGTGAATATCAAAAGATGCTGACAGCCATAATTAACTCCATCATGCCACACTTAAAATCAGGGGGAAAAGTCGTTTAGCTCTCGCCACTCTGCGAGTTCGAGTGAAAATGGTAAACACTAATGACAGCAATCCAGAAAACCCAGAGCTGGTCCATATTGAGAGGATCACCGCGTTTGCACCTGAACAGATGGACTGGAAGGATTCATAGGAAACTGAGGATAGACACACCAGAGTTATGCAAGCCTGAGCTTGTCTCAAGTCCCACCAGAACACATAAAAGCTTATGTCTGACATAGTTCAGTTACTGTTCTGCGGTAAACACTGCTGTTTATGATGATGGGGTTGTGCTAGTTTGTGATTCACGTGTTTGCAATTATACACATATGCTGTTTCAGGCATGCATTTGTGTGGACAAAATATTGAATGACTCTTTGGGCAAAAAAGCACGTCCTTGGAGACCAAAAGCATCTTCAGTGGGATGGAAACAGAGTAAGAATTTGTGCACATTATGGAGTTTATTCTGAAAGAAGGTGCCAAAAATAACTGCGCTGCTGACCGCGGCACATCAGCGAGAACTCTCATATTCCAGGTGACCTTTGTCACATTCACACATGACACTGAGACAAAGGCCTCTTTGCTCTAAAGAAGAACACCTTTGAAATATGAGGGTGCTTGTGTGACTCCTTAATCACCATAGAGGAGGAGGATGTCTAGTTTTCTACCTACCCCTTTGGCAAAACTCACACACACACACACACACACACACACACACACACGTATGTATATGTATATATGTATGTATGCTGACTCCTTTTTAGATTATTTTTTTATCAATCTCCAATCTAAATTGTTTTAAAAATATATGTTTGTACAAAATAAGTATATTTTAATTTAATTATATCATAATAACTATATATTTTAATATGACCAAAACATAAATATAAAAAATAGATAAATATTAGTAACTAATAATAATAATTGTTGGAATTTAAAAATAAAACTGTTGGAATAAACACTCAAACTGAGGACATTTAAGTGTAATTCTAGTCATGAGCCTCCAGCTTTCTTGAAGACGTTTGTTCCAGAGATGTGAGGAGAAGGTCTTTGAGTCACAGACACACTCTCTCTTTGTGTTCTCTTGACCTGATAATGCCTGTTTCAATATCAGCGGGATCACACTCGCATGCGGCAGATGTTCACAGTCCTAATTCTGTTTGCTTCACAGAGGAGGAGAGGGAATTGAGCAGGCAGTCATGCTGCTTCTACAGATAAAACAGCTGGCTCTCCGCTCCTGCTCATGGAGTAACATATTAGCCATACATAAACCGCTCGTTCGTCTGGATACACGGCGTGTCGACCATCAGCTCTTCTGAGTGCTTGGGGAAAATTTCATCAACTTCGTTTCATAATGGGGGCTCAAAAGATCTCCGCTGACTTTACCTCGATGCTTACTTTTTAACGAATCAGTCTAAATCGAGCTTGTTAATCTCAAGTGAATGTGTTGCTTTACGAGGGTTTGATTAAAGCTGCTCCTTCAACTCACCTCTGCTCTGAAATGACATGGATTGTGAAAAGCGGTATGCATGACTTTTTTAACCTGAAATACATCAGTATGAGCAAGAAAGTGTTCAAAACCCAACATTTTTTTACAGTAATGTGAAGATTTTCCAAGTATTCCTATCCGTCTCAAAGGATGGACGTGACCTGGATGCTGCATTCTTTGATCATGGGCACTCAGGTTTTTGAGTGATGAGCCAATCACCTGAGCCAAAAATGTCATGTGATGTATCACTATTGAGCAGAAGGAAAATGGGGTCACGACAACACAAAATAACACAGACACAAACTCGTCACAGATAATTTGTCATTTTGAATAAATATGTTTGTTAGCACCATGGCAAATGAAGAAAACTAACTAACCAAATAAATCAATACAATGACAACTTTGTATTGTAATTTCTCACAAATAAAGGCTTATAAAAGAAATGGTGAAATGGTGAAAAATTGTTTCTGAAAGATGCAATCAACACAGACTTCAACTGTCAGGATCCTTCCCTGACAGTGTTGTCTGTCCTGTCTTTGTTTAATGAGTCTTTGTTTATTTTGTGCCTGAGCACATGGCTGTGTCTTTGTTTGTGTTGGCCATGTGCTCCTCTTGTCCTGCCTTCTCGTTTTCAATCACCACGCCCCCTTGTTTTGTCCTTGTTTGCCCAATTGTTTTCACCTGATCCTCGTGTGCTGCTTCTTTTATATTGTGCTCATTTCCCTCTGGTCTTGGCTGGTTTGTTTTGTGTGTGCATTCTCTTTGCTAGTGCCTTTAGTCTTGTTAGAGCTTGCGATTCAGTACCGTATTGACCTGAATAAAAGACAATGTTTTTTTTTCTTGGAAATACATCTGAAAAAACGGTTGTTTTATATTCGGGGTCTAGACTTTGACATGTCAATAATACAACCACAACAATAGGTGGTGCCAAATACGCATAAAACGAGTGTGCCATGAAATACGTAATGTAACGCGTGTTGTAAAGATTGCGAGTAAAAACGGAAAAAAAAGAAAGCCTTACATCTGCATGAGTCGTAACTGTCACGTTAGCCTGATGGGACCAAACTCTTTGTGATTTTAAAACGTAAGACAGTACCCAGATTTGAAGACTACAGTGAGATTTAACTTCTACTGTTAATACGATTTTGGTAGGCTACTATTAGATGGATAGCCTAAATGTCCTAATTCAGATGGGCTACCTGTTGTTGTTTTTTTTGTTGTTTTTTATGGTATATCAAAAAGTGCATATTTTTTTAAAATGTGATTGTTTGTACATTTGACCAGTTTTTACCATACTTTCAAAACAAAAATTAAAATAGGAAAAATATGCAATAGGAAAATAATTGAAGACAAAATGTGTTTTACTGCGAAAAAACAAGATTTGGTTTTTAAAAAGCCTTTTTCCAAAAGGTACATCTGGAAAAAGGGGGGTCGTCTTATAATCAGGGTCGTTTTATCAACCCAGTCTCACGGCAAATACGTACCTGGGGGCACATTTTTGCAAGATGCGAAATACGTACCAATAAGTACATATCACTGCAGTTTCCAAAAAAATGAACACTAGAGGCAGTAAAACTCTGACACCTAGGTACGTATTTTTATGAGACTGGGTTGCGTTTTATATTCGGGCCAATACGTTATATTGCATCCAGTCTAGTTTCCCTCTTGTTAATTAATTTGTTCCTGTGTTTAGTCAATAGTCTAGTTATAGTCTTTGTGGTTTGGTTATTTACGTTTTGATTGTTCTTTTATTTTCTTTCTAGTTTTCAGAAAGGTCTTGTCTTTATTTTGTTTGTAGTTCTAGTCTTTTATTATTAGCTTTTTCCCTTTTGTTGTTTTTTGTTTTTCATAAGTCTCAGTTAATTATTTCTAGAATATATTACTTTTTCCCTTTCAGTTTTATTTTCTTGTTTATTCTCCCTAGTCATTGTTTTGCAAGTTCTTTCTTTTGATCGGTATTCATATTTTGTCTCCCCTGTTGCCTTGTTTGGGTGTCTGTCGAGTTGGTTCCTGCCCTGCTTCCTGAGTCCTCCCGGGTCGCTGAGTCTTCTGACCTGTCAGGCTGTTGTGCTTCAAGTGTTACAATCTCCTAGGCCTAGCCTGTGGTTCCTTGAGGAGCTACCTAGTCTCCTTTTGCCTCGGAGTCAGGAGCTTCCCCATCCCCGACCTGCCTGTTCTCCTGTTGTGTGCTCTGGCTTATTGTGTGGATGGTCTTCCTGCCTCATCCTCTTGTGTTCCCATTTTGTTAAACTCTGTTTCCCCTGTCCATTCTGCATTTGGGTCCTCCCTTGACATAAAAATGCTGACAATCAACTAACCACCAAAAAAAAAAACCATCCGAACAGATAAACTCTGAACATTACAAAACAAACGGTTAAAAGTGGCAATAACTACATCAGTAACAAAAACTACATAAATAAAACCAGCAAGCAAAAAAAAAAAAAAAAAATGAATAGAAAACAATTTTTTTTTATCAGGGTTCAAGTGCTTTAAGGCATTTAAGCACATATGAAAAAAGACATTACGCATTATTTAGTAAGTCTGTAACCACCCAAATCAATGATAAAAAAAGCATTTTTGGCACAATGTGAAGATCTAGTGCAGGGTTCCTCAAATCTTGCCCTGGAGGGCCAATGCACTGCAGAGTTTAGCTCCAACCCTGATCAAACTCACCTACCTGTGATTGTCTAATGATCCTGAAGACGCTGATTAGCATGCTCAGGTGTGTTTGATTAGGGTTAGAGCTAAACTCTGCAGGAAAGTGGATCTCGTGGGCCAGATTTGAGGATCCCTGATCTAGTGTATGCTTGAATATGTGAACATATTTTGCAATTTGAGGTAATTTAGCCTTTTTAACTGTTTTAGCGCCACCTGTGGTCCGATCTGCATAAAACGTTGCATGCTTGTTTAGAATTGCCTGCCGCATGTGCTCATCTAATTTCATTTTTAAAAAAGTTTTGAGTTTTCGTTTAGGCTTTATGGGCTTTTGGACACGCCCCTTTTCTAAACGACCCCGTTATAGCTAACCAAAGGCTAAAGTTCAACTTTTTTTTAAACGCGTTCGAAACGTGTATGCCATGTATTTACATATAGGCCTATTTGTAATGACATATTTGTAATAATGAAATGTTGCAATTTAGTAAATTTTTTAACTTCACTTTTTTCAATTAAGTGCATTTACAATATATTAACTTGAAATGTAATATTAAATAACACTACAGTTAACATGATAATCAATTACTTTACATGTGCTTTAGTATGTTAGTCAACACATCAAAACAAGGTAAAATCCAGTTGTGACAAACAGTTTTCCTGTTGGACACTGTAAAGTTGCTTTGACACAATCAGTATTGTATAAAGAGCTTTACAAATAAAGGTGACTTGACTTGCCATGATGCATAAGCAATCAATACCAACTGATATATAATGCAGCTGCACATGAATCTGAATGAATAAAGTCATTTACACAGGGATATTTTAATTCTCTCCATCACACACATATTTAATTTGAACAGTTTTGAGATTTCTTCTTGAATGGTTCACTATACAATGGCAGGCCGTCTCGTTTTGCATTATGTGTTTGGACGCAGTGAAATCGGATATGAATAAGCTTGATTTTTTTTCCACTCTTCAGAACACCATCTTATCTCTTAGACAATAGGGGCAGACGCTGCTGACTGATGTGACACAGACAGCAATGGATTATATTAAGAAGCAAGCATGGACGCCGGCGCCCTGTCACTTCACATTTCATGTGAGGAGCATCTGGAGATGCTGAATGGAGCGCAGGGATAGTGAGGAAGACTCCCTCGAGATGATGGTCTCAGTGCTGTTATGAATCAAAGACTGTCAAACCCAGAGTGGAGAACTGGCAGTCTCATTTTGAAAAGCAGCGTTTGTCCTTAGATACGGCCAGGGAAGAAGGATCCACATTTGGGTTCGAAAGGGTTCAGATGTGTGCAGTGTTGCATTAAGGGATAGTTCACCCAAATATGAAAATTTTCTGTCAGTTTACTCCATCCGAGATGTAGGTGACTTTTTTTTTCTTCAGTAGAACAGTGAAGATTCTTAGCTGAATCCCTGGTCCTTGGTGATTCATAAAATGCAAGTCAGCTGCCCATTTTTGAGAAAAAAAAAGCATATCAAGGAATATACAATTAAGACCCATGGCTCCTGGTGATATGTTGACATCTTATAAAGTGAAATGATCCGTCTGTGCAAGAAACGGAACATTATTTACAACATTATGACCTGTAATCCAGAGGCAAACGATCTGGTACAGAGTGCTGTCCGTTCACGTATTAATCATTCTTTTGAACCAGTTATTTTTAGTGAATTAGTTGAACCAGTTCACCAAATTTGGACTGAACTATCTGAAACAGTTCGCAGTTCAAGCAGCACAGATCGGCAAGTTACTCAATCAAAACTCACTTTCAGACGCCTGACAGTCACTCAGACTGGAAAAAAGGCAAAATAGTGGCGTATCTGATCCTATGATGAATGAACTCATTCAGCGCTCCAGTTCCTCCAACAGTCACTGAACTGAGGAAACATTTAGACTCAGACCGAAGACCGACGAGCCACTGATATGTGCATGTATGAACTGAGCACTGGAATGAAGGGGGCAAATTATTATTTTTTTTTTTATGGTTTCTCATGATTCATGTAATGTATGTGTATATATATATACAGTGGGTACGGAAAGTATTCAGA